AATTACCGGCAGGGTTACCGGCCGGGTTCGTGGAGTTACCGGCAGGGTTGCCCGCCGCGTTCGCGGACTTACTGGCCGGGCTACCGGCCGGTCACCAGCCGAGCTACTGGGTGGGCGAGGGGCCAGCCCGCTGGGTACCGGTCAGGGTGGGCAGGGCTGCTTGCCGGGCCAGGCCCCAGGCCGGGGGCGACCGGGCTGCGCTGAACACGGGCCGCACATGGCCTCGGCGCTTTCCCCTCGCGCATAATATGGTGTCCCGCCCTAACGCGCGGCGGCATTGCCCCTTGCAACCGTGTGTTCGCCTACCTACGTAGTGGCCCATGGCCACAGTGCGTGTGGCTGCATTTCCGCGCTCGCATATTGCGTTTATTTCCCACGCAGAAAGGCCTGCGGCCGCCGCGCGCCGAATGCACAGCTCGCGCCCGCGCGCGCGCGTAGTGCGCTGAGCCACTTGGCCGACGTGCTACAACCCCATGTTAACTTAGAAATCCATTCGGCCACCGCTGAAGGGGCCGCTTGAGTTCCCAGGCAAACATAACGGCCCGTCTATTGTGGGCACAACAGAATTCACAGCTCGCGCCCGCGCGCGCGTGGGCGCGTTGCGCGCTCAGCCACATGGTCGACATGCTCCAACCACATGTTAACTTGGAGATGCAGTCGGTCACCTCTCAGGGCCACCTTCGTTCACAGGCCAACACGGCGGCCCTTCTTTTGTGGGTAACCCAAGATTCACGACTCGCGCTCGCGCGGTCGCGGGCGCGCGCGCGCGGTGGCGCTTTGTAAATCGAGCCACGTAACCGACACGCTACAAACTCATGCTAACTTCGAAATCCAATCGGTCACCGCTAAGGGACCATTTGAGTTTCCTGGCCACAACATGGCGGCCCTTTCTAATGTGGGTAGTCCAGAAGTCACATCTCGCGCGCGCGGGCGCGTTGTACGCTAAGCCACGTGACCGACATGCTACAAGCCCATGTTAACTCGGAATGCAATCAGTCACCGTTAATTGGCCAATTAGATTTTCCATGTCAACATGGTGGCCGTTGTACGGTGGAAAAAATACAGAGTTCACAGCTAGCGCGCGCGTGGGCGACGTGTACGCTGAGCCACCTGGCCGATACGCGACAACCCCCATGTTAACTCGGAAGTTCAATCGGTTACTGCGGAGGGGCCACTTGAGCTTCCATGCCAACATAAAGGGCCCGATATTGCGGGTGGTGCGGCTTTCAGAGCTCGCGCGCGCCGGGGGGGGGGGCGCGCGCGCGCGGGCGCTATGTGCGTTCAGCCACATGCTACAAGCCCATGTGAACTCGGAATTCCAATCGGTCACCGCTCAGGGGCCACATGAGTTTCCAGGAGACAGCGGCCCGTCTATTGTGGGTAGTGCAGGATGCACAGCCCGCGCGGGCGCGTGCGCGCGTTGTGCGCTGAGCCACTTGGCCGACATGCAACAACCCCATGTTAACTTGGAAATCCATTCGGCCACCGCCACGGGGCCGCTTGAATTGCCAGGCCAGCACGGCAGTCCTCTGTCGTGGATGATACAGAGTTCACAGCTCGCGCCCGCGCGCGCGGGCGCTTTGTACGCTGAGCTACTTGGCCAACATGGCACAACCACATGCTAACTAGCATATTCAATATTCTACCGCAGCGGGCAACTTTTAGTTTCCAAGCAAACGTAGCGGCCCTTCTGGTGTGGATAGTTCGTAAGTCACTGCTCGCGCGCGCGCGTGGGCGTCCTTTACGCTGAGCCACTTGTGCGACATGCTACAACCCCATGTTAAATTGAAAATCCAGTCGGCCATCGCTACAGAGCCCCTTGCGTTTCCAAGCCAATACGGCGGCCCTTCTGTTGTGAGCGATGCAGAGGTCACAACTCGCGCCCGCGCGTGCGCGCGGGTGCGTTGTACGCTGAGCAACTTGGCCGACATGCGGCAACCCTAGGTAAACTGGGAAAACCAATCGGCCACCGCTAAGGGGCCACTATGGATTCCAGACCAACATGACGGCCACTCTATTGCGTGCAATAAAGAATTTACGGCTTAATCGGCACGCTGCGAACTCATGGTCACTCGGAAATCGAATCAGCCAACGATAGGATTGCACTTCAGTTTCCAGGCAATCGTGGCGGCCCTTTTATTATGGATAGCCAAGTGATCCAGAAATCGCAACTCGCGCGCGCGCGGGCGGGCGCGTTGAGCGCTGGACCACTCGGCCAACGTGCCACAAACCAGTGCTAACCTGGAAATCAATCCGGGGTTCCAAGCCAACACGGCGGCCCTTCTACTTTGGATCAGGGTTCGCAGCTCGCGCCCGCGCGCGCGGGCGCGTTGCGCGCTGAGCCACTTGGCTGACATGCTGGAAGCCACCGCAAAGGGGCTACTTGAGTGTGCAGGCCAACATGGCGGCCCTTCTACTGCGGGTAATACGAAAATTCACAACTCGCGCGCGCGCGGGCGCGCGCGAGGCGCCTTGCACGCTGGGCAACTTGGCCGACATGCTACAAACCCATGTTTAACATGGAAAATACCATCGGCCACCGCTAAGGTGCCACTTGAGTTCTCAGGCCAACGTGGCGGCATTTGCATTGCGGAGAATACAGGGTTCACAGCTCGCGCCTGCGCGCACAGGCGCGGGCGCTCTGTGCGCTGCACAACTTAACCGGCATGCTACGACCTTTTGCTAACTTGGAAGTCCGTCGGTTACTGCTGAGGGGCCACTTAAGTTTCTAAGCAAACATGGCGGCCATTCTATTGTTGGTGATACAGAATTCAACGCTCGCGCGCGCGAGCGCAAGCGGGCGCGCGCGCGCGTGGGCCCGTTGTACGCTGAACCATTTAACCAAAACGCTAAAAACTCGAGCTATCTCGGATATTCAATCGGTCACCGCTAATGGGCCGCTTGATTTCCAAGGCCAGCATGGCGGCCCTGCTATTGCGGGTAGAACTCACAGCTCGCGCGCGCGCGTGGGCGCGCTGTGCGCTGAGACACTTGGCCGACGTTCTAGAAGCCCATGTTAAATTGGAAAAAGAAATCGGCCACCACTAAGGGGCTGCTTGAACTCCGAAGCCACCATGGCGGCCCTTCTGTTCTGGATAACGCAGAGCGGCGGCTCGCTCCCGCGCGCGCGGGCGACTTGTGCGCTGAGCCACTTGGCCGACATGCTACATCCCCATGTCAATTTGACAATCCAGTCGGTCACCGCTGGGGGGCCACTTTAGTTTCCAGGACAGCACGACTGCCCTTCTTTTGTGGATAACACAGAATTCACAGCTCGCGCCCGCGCGCGCGCGTGGGCGCGTTGCGCGCCGAGCCACTTCACCGACGCGCTACAAAGCCATGGTGAATCGGAAATCCAATCGGTCTCCGCTAGGGGGCCACTTGAGCGTCCATGCCAACATTGCGGCACTGCTATTATAAATGATACAGAATTCACAGCTCGCGCCGGCGCGCGCGCGCGGGCGCGTTGCGCGCTGAGCCACTTGGCTGGCGCGCTGCAGCCCCGCGCTACCTGGAACGCCCATTCGGTCACCGCCCAAGAACCCCTTCGTTTCCAGGCCCCTTCGTTGCCAGACCGCTGAGAACAACGCAGAGATCACACCTCGCGCGCACGCGCGCGTGCGCGTTGTACGCTCGTCCTCCTCCTCCTCCTCCTCCTCCTCCTCCTCCTCCTTTCCTCCTCCTCCTCTTCCTCGCCCAATCCTCCTCCTCTTTCTCCTCCTTTCCTCCTCCTCCTCCTCCTCATCCCCCTCCTCCTTCTCCCCCCCCTCCTCTTCCTCCTCCTCCCCCCCAAAAGCTTGCGCAGTCAATGTCATCATACTTCTGCTCGCCCCTTTCCTGCTTCTCCCGTCGCTCCCCCCTTCTTCCTTTTAGTCCTCGTCCTCCTCGTGTTCCCCCCCCCGCCTCCCCCTCCCCCGCCCCCTCATCATTCTTCTGCGCCCTGCCTGTTTCGGCAAGGGCCGCGAATGTGCATTCGCGCCCGGGCGTGCCCAGGCTGACCCACGAAATACAGTTTGACGGCTTCCCCATCAATTTCTCTTCGTTACACGGAATGTTCCCGCACATCCCAGATCAAGACATTTCGCCTGGGTACTATTGCTGGGTGGACCGTGATGGATACGAACAGTAACGAAACCAACTACGCGATCAACCGCGAATGAAACTACACACGGAACTCCCCACAAACATGTTTCGCACGTGGCGTTCATCGTGCAACAGCACTTCCAGAAGGGCGAAAGAGGCGAAGCCTTCCCACAATAAAATCACGATTTCTGAATTCAAGCACACACAGTCCTTCAGGGCAAAAACAACAACAAACAATAATTCTGGATTTTCCAAACCATGCCTTCGGACAAAAACGTATTTTTGAATATTACAGTTTAGTTGTGCCCCCCGGCCTGGCTGCTAGCGTTTTTGGGTGGCCCCCCCTTCCTGTAGACGGCCCCCTCACTAACCTATGGGGCTCCCGTGGAAGACCGCACAACGTGACAAACGCCCCCACCCTACTCAACTCGGGCCGGGAGAAAGGTTGGGATAGCAAAGGCAAGGTTTGAGAATCAGCTCTCGTAGCGGATTTTCCCGGCGCCGGAGGCGGCCATGTATCGAGGCATGGGCCCCTCGGAGGGGCTGAAACCAGCTGCGTGCAGCAGATTTCGACCCCCCCCTTTCCCTATCCCCCCCTTTCGTCTGGCCCGAGCGTTGTTTACCAGCCTCGAACTTATCCCTATCCCCAAGATTGACACGCCAAAAGGCGATGACAACCTTAGGGATCCGCCTTCCAAAAAATATAAGGGACCCCCTAAGATTGGGATCGTGAGGAGGAGATGCCCAGCACAGGGATAGGGATATGTTCCAGGCTGGTAAATTGTACCCATTATTCCTCCTCCTCCTCCTCCTCTTCCTCCTCCTCCTCCTCCTCCTCCTCCCTTTCGTCTGGCCCGGGCATTGTACTTACCCATTCTTCCCGTACCCCTTTCGCTCGCGCCGGCCCCCGGCTCTTCCTGTGCAGCACCTGCTGGCCGGTGGCCACGAACGGCGACGTCGGCCGCTGGGCGGCGGACTGCGCGGCCGCCGCGGCGCCGGTCGCCTGGAGCACTCCGGAGAATACAGTCGGGGCCTTGACCTAAGGAACCCTAAGTAAGGAACGAGGCCCCTTTTTTCCATAAGTTAAACTTCGATTTCCCATCGAAAACATAGGGAAAACCTGAGGCAAGCTGCGAAACAATTAAGGAACACGGAGCCCCTCCCCAACGAACAGGGTTCCTTCTTCAGGGCCCCGACTGTACGGAGCCATGCCATACCCTGGCACTCCACTGAGGTGCAGCGATAGGGGGGGGGCTGGCAAGGGGGGGGCTGCATCGACCTGGAGTCGCCGAGAGAGCGGCGATGGGCCTCCGATGATGGATTCGCAGCTTCCTGGGCAGGTTGTGGCTATCAGGCCCCTGTCGGCGATCAATGGGCGATTGGGGGTCGATGCATCCCCCCCTTCTGCCTATCCCCCCTATCGTTGCCCCCGATGCACCTTCCACACCTTCCGACCAGCGGGCTGCTGATGTAGTGATCTGTCTCGGGGACACCGCGACTTTTCTCTGAGGTCTGATCTCTTGGATCGGCGATGGACCCCCCTCGCTGGCGCGCGGAGCGCGGTAGGGGCGGCCCCGGAGGCGCCGACAGGGGGGCCCAGCGCCGATCCAAGAAATCCGCGCGGAGCTCCGAACATTGAGGTTCAAATGTTTTTACTGCCCCTCGGGAAGACCGCTACATCAGCCACCTGCTGGCCAGTGGAGAGCCAAGGCAATTAGGCGACGAAGAGGCCCAGATCCTCCGCGACCAGAACAAGTCGGTAATGGTTGTGGGGCGCCCCAAATTAGAGTCCTCCTAGATGGGGTCGGATCGCTCGCCGATGCATCGGCGATGCATCGGCGACGTCGGCGATGCGTCGCCGACGTCGGCGTGGAGAAAATCGGGCTCGGCATCGAGCCGCATCGTCGATGCATCGGCGATGCGGCGCGATCCTCCGAGACCCATCTACTGGGACCCCTATCCTCCTCCTCCCTACTTCTCCTCCTCCTCCTCCTCCTACCTACTTCTCCTCCTCTTCCTCCTCCTCCTCCTCCTCCTCGTCTAGGTGGCCTAGACCAATTTTGATCGCGACCAGAGGGGGTCGCATTGCGGTATAACAGTGAGAAGCGGCGCGTCGGCGCCCACGCGAGGGCCTCGAGGGCGTCGACGGCTCGCTCGTTGCCAGATGCGCGGCCGCAGGTCGAGCTTCAGTCACGACAGGTTCGTCCAAAGCGCTAATGGCAATCTTCGGCAACGGAAGATTGGAAAACGATGGGCATTTTCTTCCACCAGCACCACCACGAGTTGGAGGGGGAGGGGGTCCTCCTCCTTCTCCTCCACCTCCTTACCCCCTCCAACTTGTAGTGGTGGTGGTGGGAAACAGGCCCATCAGAAAAAGGTCTTACGCACGATGACATAAAACCTTACGCTGCGGCGTGCGCGGGCCGCCAGCGCGGCACGCCGAGTAGAGAACGATTGCAGCCTTACGTGGGCAACTTACGCGCGCATGTCGGCGCAGTCGACACCGCTCCCTGGAGAAACACAACAGTACCCATACCGCCACTCCCCGGATCTCTCCTGGGGTTCTTTCTGACCAGGAGGGGGAGGAGGAGGAGGAGGAGGAGGAGGAGGAGGAGGAGGATTTCGAGAGGGATCCAGCCGTGGCGACGAAGGCCAGGAGGCCCAAAAATGACTACCTGCCAGACCACCCCAACCCAGCCCGAAGACCCGAATTTCGGGTTAGGATTGCAAAAAAAACCCGAAGGATTGCAAAAAAAACCGTTGCCTTGCAAACAGACAAGAAACAGATACATGTTAGCCAACGAAGGGTACGGGTTCCAGATGTGCGCTTTCAATGTTACCCGAGCCCTCCCCCCTGGGAATGGAGGGCAAATTGCAGCCTTCGGGTTGGGTCGGGGTGGGTTGGTGGGTGGCGACAAAAAAAAGGCGCAAACGAACAACGGGTAGCAGTACCAGTACCTTCTCGAGGAACCAAGGAAACGAAAATGCCATGTTCGGAGGTCCGCAAGGACCTTCGAGAAATGGCGTTTATGCCAGTGTTTGCTCTTCGCGATGACGCCAATTACTTACCAGCCCCGACCCTCACCCCACCCCCCTTGTCACGTCACGATGAGCGCCGGCGCCTTCTGTAAATAAGCCATTCCTAAGAATTCGAAGACTGCGCCCGCACGAATCGTGACGTTACAAGCCATCTTCCCCCACTCCCTCCCTCCCGTCACGCCCGTTATCGCCAGGGGATTACGACACTGTCTCTAGCAGTGTCGGTACTTTTTCGTCTTCTGATCTGCACAGCTCCGGGCAAATAGTTGTGTGACTGCACTGAAATATCCAAAGGACTTGCCTGGGAAAAGCCCAGCGAGAGCGATCCCTCGAGACAAACACGGCCCCGAACAAGGAACATCCAAGCCATTGCGCTCACCTCGTCCTGACCCCCAAAGAAGCTGACCCCCAGTATTAGGCCGGGCGTGTCCCCCTACAGGCAGATTTTGGGCGAACCCAACAAAAATGCCCCAGAAATACTCTGAACATCTTGAAACATAGTCGAACCATCGTCCCCAGACTCTTTCTTGACTGTTTTTGAGTACTCCCCCAGTAGAGGGGAGGGACAGGCCCGACTTCACCCCAGCTGCGGGCGAAGGATCCGACGTTGCCCCCCCAAAAAGATCACGCCCCCGGGTCCCGGACCCCAGCTGTCTGCTGCCTCGTGCGAGCAGGGCCCCGCGCGGGCCCCGGAGCCCGAGCCCGGGCAGCTCCCGCCCGCCGCGAGGACAAACCGCTGCGGCGCCCGAGGCGCCGCTGGTGGAAGCCGCCCCGGGCATCGGGAAGCTCCGAAGCTTGGCTGCCCCGATACGGCAGGTTCGTGTCGTGACGACCCCGGCGTTGGTTTCTGACACTGCGTGAATCGTTCAACCTTGAACGATCGGCGGCTTTTCGACCGCCCGATCGTTCCATATTAGCCCATTCTGGGCCACTGGCGGCGTTCAGCCTTGAACGCCCTGGGCGGGGTCGCCGCCGGTCGACACGACGCGAACCTACCGTACGCAACACTTACCAGCCTGGAGCATATCCCCGTCCCTATGCTGGACATCGCCTCGTCACGATGCCAACCTTAGGGATCCCCTTATATTTTTTTCAAGGCGCATCCCTAAGATTGTCATCGCCTTCTGGCGTGTCAACCTTAGGGATAGGGATAAGCTCGAGGCTGGTAAGACACGTACGGTTTGAACACGGACGCTTTGAACACGGCACGTGTTACGTTTTTCAAAGCGTGCGCATCAGAGCAGCTCAGCTCCGAAACCGCCCGACTACACTGCCCTCGATCCGCGGTCCCCGTGGTCTCGACCACTTCGCCCCGAGTCCCTTCTCGATGGCCCGAGGGGGCCCGAAAGTGGCCTCAGGAGGTCCTAATGATGGAGAAAACTGAAGGGGCCCTGGGACACACAAATAAATACACACAAATAAAAGGATCCCTCATATTTTCCAACATTTTCTGGGTTTCTGTCTTCCCTCCCAGCTCAATTCCCATATTTTCCCATATTTTCCAATATGTGTGTTTTTCCCTCCTGAAAAACGCCTGACTTGAAACACAAAAAAAGACATTACACCAGAGAAGAACCCCAATCAGTGGATGGTTTTGGCTGAGGAGATCGACCGGGAACCCGGGAGCCCGGGAACCCAGAACCCACCGAGATCGGCCTGGAACCAATGACCGGGAATCCGGGAACCCAGAACCGGGAACCCGGGAACCCAGCCTGCTGCCAGCATCGGCGGGGAACTTTCGCCACATCTGTCAATTGCCGCTGGGACTCCTTCAGTGCAAGCACTGATTGGGGAATCAGCCCGAAGCGTGGGCACGTACAGTTAGGTCGGGCCTGTCCCCCTACAGGGGAATTTTGGGCAAAAAATAAAGAATAGTCAAAAATACCCCCACAATGCTCAAAAAAAATCAAAACATCGCCCCCAGACTATTTTTTACTATTTTTGAATATTCCTCCTGTGAGCAAGCATCCCGGCTCAGTAAGCATCCCGGCTCACATCCGATACCCTTACTACACTTCCCTCACATCCTACCGTTTGTCCGATCATCTGTTTCTCTCTTCTCTGCTCACTGCGTCGGGACAGTTGGGAGGATGCCAGCGAGCACGAGGGCGCCGGGAACGCCCCTGGGCGCAGAGAGGGTTCCTCCTGGTGCAAAGGTGGAGTCGCACATCATTGCGTCTCCAGAGGGCCACGGCGACAAGCGGCCCCGCTTGAAGAGCCCGTTGAGCAGCCCACTAAATGAGATGGATGGGGACACGAGCGAGCCTCAGGCCACTGGAGCTGCTCGTCAATTTCACTTCGAAAATCCTCACACGCCGCCGGGGGCCTCCCCCGCTCCCGTCACGATGGACGGCATCGCAAAGTTCCTGAACGACACCTTAGATGAGAAGCTGAGCGCACAGTTAACTCCGTTGTCTTTGAAAGTGTCTTGCCTTGAGGGGAAGTACGGTGAGCTATCCAGCGACATGGGAATGCAAGCAACTGAAGTAGACAAAAGGTTCAACGACATGCATCAGAAGTTCGAGAATCACATCACCAGCATCAAGGAGGATATTGCGTCGCTGCGAGGGGTTCTTGGTTCCTCTCCTGGGGTGTCCGCTCAGACCACCCCCAGGGCAACGTCGAATCCAACAGTATTCATTGGTGGTTTGAGCAAGTTTGCAGATGAGGACGTGGCCAGGGAGTGGTTGCGAAATCAATTTTGGAATGCATACATCAACGAGCCACTTGAGATGTACTTCAAAGGAAAATCGTTTAAAGGGCAGTTATTTGCTAAATATGCCAATCAAGCGGAGGCCGAATCCATCGCAACGAAGATCAAAGAGGCCAACTGGGAACACGACGGCGAGAAGGTATACGCCAAGCTGGACTTCCCTGTCAGCGTGCGTGTTCTCCGGACCGTCATGTACACCAGCAAGGACGTGCTCATTGACGGAGGTTGGGAAAAGACAGCTTTGTGGACCGATGCCGATACTTTCAAAGTGTGGTGTGGAGCCGACGTGGTTCTCACGGCTTCGATTTCTGAGGGCAGTCTTTCAGTGTGTTTCGAAGAAGGGTGGCGCGAGTATTTCGAGGGCGTGCCAAAATGGGATGCCATGGTCGCTGCCTCCAATAAGAAGCTCAACGACAGCAAGACTCCCACGAAAGGCCTTGGCAAGGGTAAGACCAAAGGCAAAACGAAGGGCCACTCCTCAAGCGCCTCTGCAGGCACCGGCCATTAGGGACAACTCCAGTCAGACACATGTTTCACTTTAGACTCTTGCAAACCTTCTCTGGTCATATTGGCAAAAAAACGCCCGTATTGGGTCAGATGAGAGATTGCAGGAGGTAGTTGCAGAATTAGACACTATGGATTGGGATAGTGTTCTCTTCTCGGAAACGAGAGCACCAAGCCGCTCGTGCGAAATCATTGGCGGGCACGCGCTTTATGCAAGCGGCAAAGGGCATGATGCCACAGGCGTTGGTGTCCTCGTCCACGCCAGACACGTTGGCAAACACGTATCTGTTGGTATCAGTGACCAGGTCATGTACGTCGATTTGGAACTGCACGGAAAAGCGTGCAGAGCAATCGCAGCTTACCTTCCGCATGCCGGCTACCCCGCCACGTTCGTGGACGCAGTTTACGAACAGCTGTCATCCTGCTGCCGGACAGCGCGAGTTGGCATCGTCGGAGGCGATTTCCAAACAGAGCTGCATGAACCAGTTCGGGGGGCTGCGCTGCTCGATTTTGCTTCGAGGGCAAAACTGACATTCTGTAACAGCTCTGGGGACTGGACGTTTCGAAGCAATCTGGGAAGATACCGTCTTATCGACTACATCCTTATCGGCTCGCGCGCCAGATGCATTACGAGTGACAGCACAAATATGCTCGACCTTGGCTCGGACCATCGTGCCGTTTCTGCTACCATCGAGTTCAAAGTTGCCAGACGATGGACAAGCAGACAGCATAATTCTCGATGTAAATGGTCAGATGTGTCAAGCCAGGACATTCAACGATACGCGGAGTCAGTGGGCTGCTGGGCCTCGCAGCATATTGTCGACAATTTCGCGGAAATCGAAAATGCCATCCGGTCTTCAGCAGGGGAACATCTGCAAACGCAGACAGCGACGACCCAAAGCCCCTGGAATTCTGATGTTGTCCTGCAGGCGAAAAGAGACCGGGATCAGGAGAGAGACCCTTTCAAGAGGAAAGCCTTGCATTGGCGCTGGAAGCGGGTACTCCGGAAAGAAGTTCGGATTTGGAAGACTCGGCAGGCCGCAAAGATCTTATCTGCGTTTCAAGGTTTATCCCGCTTGGACGTTGTATGTCACGTTCCGGTTGAGCGGGAAATTCCTGCCAAGCGGCCAAGCGACGGGGAGCTTGCGCGAGCTCTCGCCGAAGTGTACTCGAGGGAGACGCCGACTGAAAGACCGCTGCCGCGAAGTGTTCTTCGCGACGTTCCCCCGCTCAGCACTGCAGAACTCAGGGCAGCTTTGAGAAAGCTAGCGCGCAACAAGGCCGCAGACACCGAGGGCATTGCGTTAGAGCACATTCTGCATTTACCTCTGCGAGCAAAGAAGCTCATTCTTGACCAGTACAACAAATGTCTGAACGAAGTGGCTTTCCCGAAGGAGTGGCTGCATACGACTTTCACAATGCTGCCCAAGCCGGGGGACGCGTCGAAGGCTTCCAATTGGCGCCCAATCGCCGCGCAAGGGATATTGTACAAGATTCTGGCTAAAATGCTTCTGTCAAGGATTTCGCCGAAGTTGGAAGCAGCGCAGGGGAAAGATCAATGTGCGTACCGGCCTGGCTTCGGCGCCGACGAGGCTCTGCACTGCGTGGAACACATGATAGGATTTGCGCACGCGTTTAACCAGGATCTTTGGATCGTCAGCCTAGACCTGAGCAAGGCGTTCGATCAAGTCTTTCACGAATCTGTTATCGAAGCAATCTTGCAGCAAGGTGTAGATGAGGCTCACGCTTCCTTGTTGCAAGAGCTGTACTGGGGACAGACGGGCCAAGTTGGTACGAGCGACGTCTTTCAGCTCTTCCGGGGAGTTCGCCGGGGCGACGTCCTCAGTCCGTGCTTATTCAACGCAGTCATGGAGATGGTGTTCAACAGGTGGAAAGGCCGCCTCACTACGCAGGGTTGGGAACTCCCGGGACAAGCAGAACGCTTCACGAACATTCGATTTGCAGACGATGTTCTGCTTTATGCCCGCTCGCTGGAGGACGCAAAAATCATGCTCTCGCTCTTGATTGACGAGTTCCAGGCCGTAGGGCTGCAAGTGAACGCCGCGAAGACTAAGATCTTATCTTCCAGAGACGTGGGTGCGCCACCCGGCACTTGCAAAATCGAATGGATTGCTGGCCGCTGTTTTCAAGTGCTGTCCGCGAATGATTCCCACGCATATTTGGGGAGAGCCCTCAACTTGTCAAAGAACAGGGCAACACTTGCCGTCAAAAGGAGGATATCAGCGGCACGGCACCAATTCCAAAAGAAACGCCACATTCTCATGAGCCAGCATATCGGTGCCAGTCACCGAATCAAGCTCTTCAACTCCACGGTATTGCCAGTCTTGCTGTACGGGTTGACCACCCTGGCGCTGAAGCCGCAGCACCACGCCATGCTCCGGGGAGCGCGGACAAAGATGCTCCGAAATATGGCTGGCTGGAGGAGAGCAGAAGGCGAAAGCTGGCAGGACACGATGCGGAGGATGCAGACGCGCGTGTCGAACATGCTGTCCACGGCAGCCTCCCCAGACGCATCGGAAAGGATATTCTCTTTGAAATGGCGGCTGGCTCGCCGGCTCTTCTGCGCAGGAGTTGAGAAATGGGCTCCCCATCTTCGACACCTGCAGTCTGCTCACAAGCGAGCACGAGGCAGACCACCGCTGCAATGGATAGATGACTTCAGACAGTTCTGCGCGCACGTCGGCGCAGATTCTCTGGAACAGGCGCTGCAAACGCCGGGGAGGGAGAAGCAGTACATCGAGTTCTGCATGATGAAGGTGTGATGCCCCTCCCCCCCTTTCCCCTCCCTTCTCCCTCCCTCCCTGCCTCTCCTCTTTTGCATTTTTCCGAATTCCCAATTCCATTTGTGTCATTTTCCATTTCTGTTCATGTCTCACAAATTTGTTGTCTGGCTGGTAGACTGATTGCACACCCATGCCCTGCACAGGGCCGAGCAGCCGGCAGGCATGCTCGAGTGGCTCGCTCGCTCGCTCCTCCTGTGGAGGGACGGGCCCGACTTAAACGTACAGTCAGGGCGCTGTATAAGAAGGGCCACTCTGGCCTCTTCCGTGCAAGCACTGATTGCGATGGGCCTGTCTTCCACCACCACCACCACCACCACCACCATGGGTTGGAGGAGGGGAAGGAGGTGGAGGACGAAGAGGAGGAGGAGGAAGAGGGGGAGGAGGACCCCCTCCCCCCTCCAACTCATGGTGGTGGCGGTGCAAAACAGGCCCATCAGACTGGGGAATCAGCCCGAAGCGTGGGCACGTTCAGTCAGGGCGCTGCATAACTGAGGACCCCTCTGGGCTCACGAGGGGCCGTGGCTCTCGGGCCGCTCCTCCGATCTGGAGGCCGGGGAGCCTCTCCGTGGCCCAGGCTCGCCCTGTCCTGGCAGGGTTAGGTCGGGCGTGCCCCCCCTACGGGTGGAGTTTGGCGCATCCGCCCGAAGCGTGGGCACGTACAGTGAGGTCGGGCCCGTCCCCCGTACAGGGGGGGATCTTGGGCGCAGAATGAAGCATACTCAGAGGTACCCCAACGATATTCAAAAATAGCAGAAAATCGTCCCCTGAGCATTCTCTGACGGTTTCTGAGTACTCCTCCCGTAGAGGGACGGGCCCGACGTCAGCGCACAGCCAGGGCGCTGCAGAACTATAAGGACCCCTCTGGGCTCACGAGGGGCCGGAGCGCTCGGGCCGCTCCTCCGATCCGGAGGCCCGGGGGGCCTCTCCGTGGCCCAGGCTCGCCTTGTCCTGGCACCGTCCCCCCTACAGGTGGATTTTGGGCCAACAAACAAGTATACGCCCAAAGTGCATCCCAAGTGCCCAAGAATTATTCCAGTGCGACCCTACCTAGGAGTTGGAGGATCTAGGAAAGCAACATCTATATGAAGCTAAGTTAAGCTAATATGAAGCTAAGCTGAGATGAAATCAGCTAAGCTAAGGTGAGATAAGCAACGCTAAGCTAAGGGGACGTAACTGGGGGAACCGCGGGGCGTATACTGGGGGAACCGCCCGGGGCGAGTTGCACTGCCCGGTCCTTTAAGCATACCGAGTAAGAACCCTTCTAGGCAGAGCCCAGGTAGGGAACAAATCCAAACATCGTCCCTAGACTTTTTTGGGGATTGTTTTTGAATGCTCCTCCTGTAGAGGGGACAGGCCCGACTTAATGAGGGGGACAAAAAGTCACGCAAACATGAAACTCGGAGGTCCGCGCGGACTTCTCGGATCGGCGCTGGACCCCCCTCCCTGGCGCGCGGAGCGCTCCAGGGGCGGCGCCTCCGGGGGCCCCAGCGCCGATCCGAGGAATCTGCGCGGACCTCGGAGTTTTTGTTTATGCCACTCTTTGTTCCCCCTCATTACGTCGGGCCTGTCCCCCTAGAGGAGTTTTGAAGTTTATGTCACTCTTTGCTCCCCTATCAATGGCAGGATTGAAAAGAGAAAAACATCCGCCCGCAGTCTGGTCGCCAGGTGCAGGTTGGGGGCGCTGCGGCTGGCGCTGGCCGGGGCGTTCGTCGCGGGGCGCGGCCGCCAGCGCTCCGGGCTCGTGTGCAGCTGGCTCTGGCTTGCCTGCGCCGGCGGGCTCGTGTCTGGAGGTCGCAAGAGGCCCGGGCCGAGCACGCCGGGCAGCGGGCGCAGCGGCGAGTGCCTGGGCTCCTCCTCGTTCTCCTCGCTCTTCTCTTCCCCCCGCCTCTTACCCCTCCCACTGGTCCTCCTCCTTCTCCTCCTCCTCCTCCTCCTCCTCCTCCTCCTCCTCCTCCAACTCCTTCAACTCCTCCTCCTCCTCCCCCTCCTCCACCTCCTCCTCTTCCTCCTCAGCTTCCTCCTCCTCCTCCTCCTCCAACTCATCATCATCATCAGCATCATCATCATCATCAGCCGCATCAGCATCAGCATCAGCATCAGCATCAGCATCAGCATCCGCATCAGCATCAGCATCAGCATCGTCATCATCATCATCATCATCATCATCATCATCATCCTCATCCTCATCCTCATCCTCATCATTATCATCATCATCCTGATAATCATCATCACCATCATCAGCATCACCATCATATTCATCAACATCAGCATCATCACCATCAGCATCATCATAATCATACTCATCACCATCATGACGATCACAATCATCATCACCAGCAGCAGCATCATAATCATCATCAGCACAATCAGCACAATCATCATCAGCCTTATCAGCATCAGCAGCAGCATCATCATCATCAACAGCAACATCATCATCACCACCATCACCAGCATCATCAGCATCATCAGCAGCATCATCAGCACCATCAGCACCATCACCAGCACCATTATCAGCATCAGCATCAGCATCATCATCGTCATCGTCATCAGCATCATCATCAGCATCATCATAATCATCATCATCATCATCATCATCATCATCATCATCATCATCATCATCATCATCATCATCATCATCATCATCATCATCATCATCATCATCATCATCATCATCATCATCATCATCATCTTCATCAGCAGCAGCACCATCAGCACCATCAGCATCGGCATCTGCAGCAGCCGCAACGGCAAATGCCTGGATTCGCACGGCCCCCCCATCCCCATGAACGGGCCCCAGCGGACCTCTCCTGTGCTCTCCGTAGGCGGCGCGCGCGAGGGGGTTGCGCGAGGGGGGGGGGGGAGGCGGCCTCTTCAGAAGGCGGAGGGCTTCTTAGAGAGCAGGGGCCATCTTAGCAAGGGCTCCCAATTTCGCGCTTCGCGCTGCGCGAAGCGCGAAGTGCGACTAACTTCGCGCTAAAAGAGGAGGAGGAGAAATCGGAGCCGAACCGCGAAGCGCGAAGCGCGAAGCTAACTTCGCGCCCTCGAGGGCGCCCGTGCTTAGAGAGGCCGGGCAGCTTCCAAGAAGGCGCCTTGGAAACAGCGAGGGCGACCAAGAGGTCACCAACCCTTTTTTTTCTGACGCCCGAAATCGGTACGGGAAAAATCGGTAGGACGCCCCAAACCGACAGCGGCCGCTGTTGGGCGGGCGACTTTCTGTCTAAGATGGACAACGTCCGCGGCGACGCCGACAGCGAACTTCGTACCCGGTCTTGCCGTACCCATGTCGACCGCACCGATCTTAAGATCCCCCCTCCCCACCACCACGCCTTCTCACTGAAAGGCCGCCCCCGCGTCGCCCCCCTCCCCTCCCCGTGCATGCCGCCAGCTCTGGTCAGAACCTAGAGGCGGACCTGGCCGCCGCGGCCGCGGGGCCGCCCAAGGTGGGCGGCCCAGCCCCCCCCCCAAACTTCACAAGCCAACACCCCTCCTCACCTCCCGAGACAACAAAACAAAAAAAGGTTACTGGACCCTTCAGTGGCAACTCATGGAAGCCTCCCATGCCATCTTGCTGTCCCTTGCAAACCGGCGCTAGCCAACACTAATCGACGCTGGTGCCTTCTAAACCGACGCTAGCGATCGCTAGTGTAATCTGAAGACACAGTTGCGAGGACACAAAAAGCTCACATGAATTGGCACCGACCCCCCCACACACAACAAGCCAGCACCCCTCCGCACCTAGAAAAGAAAACGCTCCTCGATCCTACTCCAAAGATAGGGATAATTACGCTACCGAGAAACCCCACATACTTCCATTATGGCTGGGGTGATGGCAGCTGAGGTGAAGCATGCGGTGTCGAGAAACGCCACACCTGCTGTGCCCTGGACGACCGTCATGGATAGCGGCCGCCCTCAGGGACCACCCCGTGCGCACTCTCTGTGGTGTCGAGAAAACGCCACGCCTGCTGTGCCCTGGGCGACCGTCACGGATAGCGGCCGCCCTCAGGGACCACCCCGTGCGCACCCCCTGCGGTGTCGAGAAAACGCCACGCCTGCTAGGGCAAGGACGACCGTCACGGATAGCGGCTGAGCTCAAGGACCACCCCGTGCGCACCCCCTGTGGTGTCGAAGAAACGCCACGCCCGCCGTGCCCTGGACGACCGTCACGGATAGCGCCCTCGCTCAGGGACCACCCCGTGCGCACCCCTGTGGTGTCGAGAAAACGCCACGCCTGCTGTGCCCTGGACGACCGTCACGGATAGCGGCCGCGCTCAGTGACCACCACGTGCGCACCCCCGGTGGTGTCGAGAATATGCCACACCTGCTGTGCCCTGGACGACCGTCACGGATAGCGGCCGCGCTCAGGGACCACCCCGTGCGCACCCCCTATGGTGCCGAGACAGCGCCACGCCTGCCGTGCCCTGGACGACCGTCACGGATAGCGGCCGCGCTCAGGGACGACCCCGTGCGCACCCCCTGTGGTATCGAGAAAACGCCACGCCTGCTGTGCCCTGGACGACCGTCACGGATAGCGGCCGCGCTCAGGGACCAACCCGTGCGCACCCCCTGTGGTGTCGAGAAAACACCACGCCTGTTGTGCCCTGGACGACTGTCACGGTTAGCGGCCGCGCTCAGGGACCACCCCGTGCGCACCCCCTATGGTGCCGAGAAAACGCCACGCCTGCTGTGCCCTGGACGACCGTGACGGATAGCGGCCGCCCTCAGGGACCACCCCGTGCGCACCCCCGGTGGTATCGAGAATCTGCCACGCCTGCTAGGGCAAGGACGACCGTCACGCATAGCGGCCGCCCTCAGGGGCCACCCCCTGCGCACCTCCTGTTGGCGCGCATGTATTGCGTGATGTGCGTGTCATGTGTTTGTGTGCTTGCGTGTTGGCTTGTGTGTGTGTGTGCTGTGCAGTGCTGTGCAGTGCTGTGCTGTGCTATGCTGTGCTGAGCTGTGCTGTGCTGAGCTGTGCTGTGCTGTGCTGTGCTGACCTGGGCTGTGCCGTGCAGTGCTGTGCAGTGTTATGCTGTGCTGAGGTGCTGTGCTGTGCTATGCAGTGCAGTGCTGAGCTGTGCTGTGCTGAGCTGAGCTGTTCTGTGCTGCGCTGAGCTGTAGGAGGCGGGGTGAGGAGACGCGGGTGCGACGCGGGAAGGAAGAACCAGAACCCCACTAAGCATGTGGGGAAAAGCGAAGCCAACTATGGGACAGAACCGGATCGGGATACATAGGTGATCTGAGATCCGTGGTTCTGGATGCACCGGGCTCCGTGGCCGTTCGAGAGCCTTCTGGAGCGCTCTGGAGCGATCTATCCTGACCTCAGGCCTCACTGAAGAAGATCGGGGTCGCGCTAACCCGAACCCACGCGAACCCGGGTCGCGCCAGGGCCGCGTCGCGCACCCCTGGCTGGCCGCGAGCAGCTCCCGAATCCCTGGGGTCAGGGGAGGGCGGGGGAGGGGGCTTCGGCCTCAACGCGGCCGCTCCCAAACGCGGGTCAGCCAGAGAGGATCAGCTGACCCCGTCAGCACTGACCCCCGCTCCGTGCGCCCCAGGGAGAGGTCTCGACTGCCTGCAGCGCCCCCCGCAGGGTCTGCTGCACGGCGGCTCCGGGGCCGCCCGGCACCGGGAGGCGGAGCGTTCGGTGTCGGATCGCCACGTCGGAGCGGGTCGGCACGTGCACCGAATCGGGACGCATCGGCACGGAGTCGGGATCGACTCGAATCGGCCGCGCCAGGGTGCAGAACAGCGCCAGCACCGCATCGGGTCGCAGTGGCATCGGATCAGGGCCCCTTGAGCCAGGACTTTGCAGACCGGGACTTTGCCAGGCCCAGCGGGAACAGAGAGTGCAGACTGTGCTGGACCACGGCTGCATCTCTCTCCTGGGTGCGCCAATGTCCTGGCTGATCGAAGTCCCCGCACGAGGCCCTGATCGAAACGGAATCGGATCCCGAAACCGATATCGAATCGGATAGATTGGATCGGAACGGACCAGGCAGGGGCAGCTCAACGGCCCGCCAGCCTGAGGTTCTTGGACGCCTCCTGCCACAGCGGGCCGTCCACTTCCTACAGCAGGCGTCGCTACCCCTCCCTCCTCCTCTTCCTCCGTCCCCCTCCGCTTCCTCCATCATCCCGCTCTCTCCATCCTCACGCTCTCTCCCTCCTCCCGGTCTCTCCCCCTCCGTCCTCCTCCGCATCCTCCCTCCTCCGACTCCTCCCTCCCCCAGCTTCCCCACTCCCTTCTCCCCCGTCCTCCTCCGACCTCCTTCCTCCGTCTTCCCCCTCCCTCCTCCCTCCTCCTCCGCCACCCGTCTGGGCTGCGTTTTAGCCCAGGTTGAGCACGCAGCTCCGCCCGAGGACGCGCGCCTCGGGCGCAGACTTTGCATGCGCCTGTGAACGTGCACGTGCACGCGCACGTGCGTGCGTGTGTGTGTGTGTGTGTGTGTGTGCGTGCGTGCGTGCGTGCGTGCGTGCGTGCGTGCGTGCGCGTGCGTGCGTGCGTGCGTGCGTGCGTGCGTGCGTGCGTGCGTGCGTGCGTGCGTGCGTGCGTGCGTGCGTGCGTGCGTGCGTGCGTGCGTGTCTGTCTGTCTGTCTGTCTGTCTGTCTGTCTGTCTGTCTGTCTGTGTGTGTGTGCGTGCGTGGGTGGGTGGGTGGGTGGGTGGGTGGGTGGGTGGGTGGGTGTGTGGGTGTGTGTGCGTGGGTGTGTGTGCGTGTGTGTGTGTGTGTGTGTATGTGCATGCACACGAGGACGTGCAGATGCCTGTGCATGTGCATGTGCCTGTGCCTGTGCATGTGCAGCTGCACGCAACCCGACTCGCCCACACGGGCTGCAGCCACCGCGTGCCGCCCCCCCAACGGAGGACGTATGACAGACCGGGAAGTCCGGCGGTGGAGGCCGCCCGCGCTCCCCTAAACTCAGTCGTGAGTCATCTTCCCAAGGGGGGCCCTCTCCACGCCGCTGCTGCGCCCCCTGCCGAGAGCTCTCCCGGGGCGCCCGACCTCGTCCCGCCCCACGACGGCCTCGCCGAGTTGCCCGCCTCGGCTGGAAAGAAACAGATTCAGAAGAGGGCCGGGGACGGGAGGCAGAGGTCTGCGGCGAAGACCACCAGCAACCCCACTGCCACGAAGCCCCCTCTGGCGGAGGAGGCGGGGAGCAGGCGTTGGGTACACCGGGGCCGCCAACGACCCCCCCGGCCACGGCCGCCCGCATCGACGCGAAGCAGCGCTGCCCCCATGGCGGACAAGCGCTCCCTGTGCCAGGACCTCCCCTGCCAGAACCGCATCGCCCTGGACCTGGCAGTCTGCTGGGCCCTCTCCCCTTGGGGTCCCGCGGTCCCGCCGGGCCCAGGAAGGGCGCGCGCCTGCCGCCCGACTCTCGCTCGGTGACGCCTCGGCTGGGGCGTGTGGTGGCACCAGTGTTGCCCGCGCAGGGAGGTCTCCTCCGCCACGGAAGGACCGTGCAACGGAGGAGCACCACCCCGGACACCACAAGGCGTCCCTCGTCGCCACGGCAGGACATTGGCACCCCACCTCCTCCTCCTCCTCCTCCTCCTCCTCCTCCTCCTCCTCCTCCTCGCGCGCCGTCTCACGCATGCGCATCGCGCGCCGCTGCCCAGGCGGGGCGGCGCCTGGCGCCCCGCCTTGCGCGTCCTGCCAAAGGCTGCGCTGGCCCGGCCGCGGGGCCGCGCCGGCGGGCAGCGCGACTGGCCCCCCCTCTCTTCCGCGGCCACTTCGCGCCCCGCCCCCCTGTCCGTGTGGCGAGGAATGCTGGCAGCTCGAGCGCCGAGGATTACCACACGACCCCCCAGGGCGGGAAGAGTGCCACCCCTGTCACAGCTAGGGCACCCGACTTCGCGCTCCGCGAAGCGCGAATAACTTCGCGCTCTCGCGCCGCCCCCCCAAAGGGAGAAAAGGAGGGCGAGGAGGAGGGGGAGAAGGAACGAGGACCGCGAAGCGCGAATAACTTCGCGCCCTCGTGGGAGCCCTTGTCTCAGGTGTCCTCTGCCACGACCCCCTCAATACCAACGGGGCCCTGGCCGCCACAACGAAAGACATACAGCGAGCAGGCGGCGGTCCCAGTGCGGCCTGGGCCAGGCATTGCTCCCAGCGCGGTGGGGGCAACAGGACCCCAGCCGACACGACGCCGCCTTCCTTCGCGGCTTCCTCGCCTGCCTGGCCTCGTCGCCTCCCTGATTCCCGACGGCTGCACCGAGGCGCCACAGCCACAACAGGCCTTCCACGCGCCGTGGCGCTTCTGCGACGGAATGCGCTCCTGGCCGCAGGGAGTGCTCTGCAACCGTCATGACACCTGTTCGGCACCCGCCCTTTTGCCTGGTTTGCGGGCCTCGCACCCGTCCACCCGATACTGCTGTGCCGGACGCTGCCGCTCTCCTGCGGCGCCTTGCCCCGCCAGCGCGGCTTCTTGCGCCTCGTAAGCCCGCTGGTCTCGGCGCACGCCCCGCCCTGGTGGCCTCCCTGGCCCACGTCGCCCCCCCGTCTGGCGTGGTCCTCTCCTTCCGCTTCGCCCGCCTTCCCTGGCGCACCCCGGAGTGGCTCCGATTCTGGGTCGCCGCTCTCCGTCACTCGCTGGGCTACGGTGTCGCTGTCGTGGCGCCCTTGTGCCTGCCCGCCTTCCGCCGCTCGCCTCTTGCCGCGCCTCGTAGGCCCCCCTGGTCTCGGCGCGCTCCCGCCCCCTGGTCTGCCGCGCCTCGTAGGCCCCCAGGTCTCGGCACTTCGGCTTTCCCCCCGGACCGCGCCCATCGGTTCGCTGGGTCGAGTCCCTGGTTCGCTCGTGTTGCTCCCCCATCAGCCGCCCACTCTGCTGGGCTGCGTTCCCACCCAGCTTCAGCTCAGTGCATCTCAGTGCCGGCGCTGGTTCCCCCCTCGGCGCTCCCCCTGCCGCAGCCTGGCTTCCTCTCTTCCTGTCGCGCCAGTGATCCTCCTCCTCCTCCTCCGCCGTGCATGGCGGCTTGAATTTTCATACAGCGTGTCCCCTTCTGCCAATCCGCCGGAGCAGCCACCCTCTGCCCAGCCGCCGACGAAAAACAAAGCACGTGCATATACATGTGCATGCGCATGTGTGTATATGTATGTGCATCTGCATGTGTATGTATATGTGTATGTGTATGCGTTTGTGTGTGTATCTGTATGTGCGTGCATGTACGTGTGCGTGGGTGCGTGCATGTGCACGTGCACGTGAACGTGCATGTGAATGTGCATGTGCATGGGCATGTGTGTAAATGTGTGTGAGCGTGTACGTGTGCGCGTGCGTGTGTGTGTGTGGGTGTGTGAGTGTGAGTGTGAGTGTGAGTGTGAGTGTGAGTGAGTGTGAATCTGAGTCTGCGTGTGCGTGTGCGTGTGCGTGTGCGTGTGCGTGTGCGTGTGCTTGTTCGTGTTCGTATGCTTGTGCATGTGCATGTGCATGTGCATGTGCGAGTGCGAGTGCGAGTGCGAGTGAGTGTGTGGTTGTGTGGTTTGTGGTCGTGTGGTCGTGTGGTTGTGTGGTTGTGTGGTTGTGTGGCGTGGTGTGTGCGTGTGCGTGTGCGTGTGCGTGTGCGTGTGCGTGTGCGTGTGCGTGTGAGTGTGAGTGTGAGTGTGAGTGTGAGTGTGAGTGTGAGTGTGAGTGTGAGTGTGAGTGTGAGTGTGTGTGTGTGTGTGTGTTCGGGCAAGCTGGGCGCATCCTTCCGTTGGCGTCTTTCCTCCTCCCGTTTACCTCCCTCCTTTCTTCCTCCCTCCTGCCCACCCCCCCGGCCAGAGGCTCGCGCGGGAGCGCGCGGGGGGGCCACTTCGCAGCATGAACCCCTCTCGATCCCCATTCCCGGGGGCAATGTTTCTCATCCAGGGCTGCTTCTTCTGACTGCCGCGGGGCCCGAAGCAGACGGGCCGCCCCCTGGCGCACGAGGCTGAGGGAAAACTTACCGTCGCGGTCCCGAGTGTCTCTGGACGTGTGCCGAAGCCACGACCAAAGAATTGTTTTGGTCGAGATCCAAGAATTATCATGATCGAGACCAAGAAAATTGGTCGAGACCACAACACAAATCCTTTGGTCCCGACCAAAAGAATTCTTTGGTCGAGGCTCCCACAGGCATCTGGGGTTCCGAAGTCCCAGGAAGCCTCCGCAGGCCTCCGAAGGTCCGCAAAAAGGCACGGAGGCCTCCAAACTTTCGAACCCAAGTCTATCCTCGTACCTGTAGACAAGCGCGTTCCACTACTCGCAAAGTAGCTACTCGCAGATGACCTGGATCCGCCGCAGGGGATTTACGATGTATTACACAAGGGCAGACGCATGATTTTTAGGGCGTTTGCGAGTAGGCACTTTGCGCTCGGCGAACCTGGATCCTCTCCTCGCCTCCCTCCCTACACCGCCTGCTGAGCCCAACAAGAGGAACACGAACTGGCACTGCAAGTCCTCTGGCACAAGACTACCCCCGAGACAGCCAGCAGGGCTCCAAGAGGCCCGCGGGAGGCCCCAAGAGGCCCCCAAGACCCCCCCAAAGACCATTGCATTCAAAAGGCATCTGGTCCAACACCCAGGTACGGTGGCGGGATGCACCGAAGGCCACTAGATACAAGTGGTACGATGCTCTGTCTCTGATCCAGTCTCAAGGTGCTTTTCAAACCGCTCTGGGACGATCGTCGCCCTACCTCGGTCCGCTCATCGCCCTCCTCGCGGCCTTCCAGGCGTCTCCTTCAGGGTCGGTGGGACTCGCCGCAACCAAGGACACTCCGATCCCGCTGCTGCGCGTCGCCTTACACATGAGGGGGTGCCTTCGAACGTTGGACGCCCAAAATTGGGTACGATGGCCAACAGCACATGTCGCCAAAACCGACAACGGTCGCTGCTGGGCAGGCGGCCCCAGCCCCAAAGCCGACGGTGAGCCGTTTTCCAAGTGGGCAAGAACTGCTGCCAGCTTTTGGCCCATTCTGTCCGTGCACCTTTTGGGGAAACCGAACGGCAACGATGCCGCTGCTCCCCGAACCTCTCCCGGGGTGCGTTCTAACCAGGATGTCGTGGCGCATCCAGCGGTGGCGACGACGGAGGCCCAGGAGGCCCCCCCAAAGGAGGAAAACAACGGGCGAGGGGGCAGAGAATAGGGGGTATACCTCCTCCTCCTTCTCCTCCTCCTCCTCCTCCTCCTCCTCCTCCTCCTCCTCCCCTCCTCCCCTCCTCCTCCTCCTCCACCTCCTCCTCCTCCTCCTCCTCCTCCCCCTCCTCCTCCTCCTCCTCCTCCTCCTCCACCTCCTCCTCCCCTCCTCCTCCTCTCTCCTCCTCCTCCTCCTCCTCCTCCTCCTCCTCCTCCTCTCTCCTCCTCCTCCTCCTCCTCCTCCTCCCCCTCCTCCTCCTCCTCCTCCTCCTCCTCCTCCTCCTCCTCCTCCTCCTCCTCCCTCCTCCTCCTCCTTCCTCCTCCTCCTCCTCCTCCTCCTCCTCCTCCTCCTCCTCCTCCTCCTCCTCCTCCTCCTCCTCCTCCTCCTCCTCCTCCTCTCATCCTCCTCCTCCTCCTCCTCCTCCTCCTCCTCCTCCTCCTCCTCCCTCCTCCTCCTCCTCCTCCTCCTCCTCCTCCCCTCCTCCTCCCCTCCCTCCTCCTCCTCCTCCTCCTCCTCACTCCTCCTCCTCCTCCTCCTCCTCCCCTCCTCCTCCTCCTCCTCCTCCTCCCTCCTCCTCCTCCTCCTCCTCCTCCTCCTCCTCCTCCTCCTCCTCCTCCTCCTCCTCCTCCTCCTCCTCCGCTCATCTCATGCGCGCCGGCCCCGGACTCCTGCTGGCGCACGCGCGCCTTCAGCGCCACCTGCCAGGCCGCGCGGCCGCCTCCGCCCCGCGCCCCGCCGCGCCGCGCGCGCCCAGCCAGCGCGCTCCCTCCGCCTCTGCGGCCTCGCCGCCGCCGCTCTGCGCAGGGGGGCGCTCCGCGCCGCGCCCCCGCCGCTGCAGCGGCCAGCTCCGCTCCTGGGGGGGGGAGGAGGGAGGAGGAGGAGGAGGAGGAGGAGGAGGAGGAGGAGGAGGAGGAGGAGGAGGAGGAGGAGGAGGAGGAGGAGGAGGAGGGAGGAGAGGAGGAGGAGGAGGAGGAGGAGGAGAGGAGGAGGAGGAGGAGGAGGAGGAGGAGGAGGAGGAGGAGGAGGAGGAGGAGGAGGAGAGGGGAGGAGGAGGAGGAGGAGGGAGGTGCTGGGGTGAGCCTTCCGGGGAGCAGCTGCGAGCCTCCGCGGCCATGCCACAACAACTGCGATTTCGACTGCCCGCCTTGCAGGTTTCTGCCACCACGCTCTCTTTACCCCTTCCGTCCCGATGTCGTCCCAACGTGGACCAGACCCGGCGAGATCCGCAGCCATCGCCAGGAATTCTGGGACCCTCCGAGGCTAGACGAGAGCTGCGCTCCTCGGCGGAGCGCCGAGGCAGGGAGCTTTGGATCCGAGTCTCGAGGCTTCCAGGCGCTTTCGTCGCTTCTCGGCGATTTTCCAGCCGCGGGATGCGTTTCCGCGGCTGCGCCTCGCCGAGGGCGTTCCACACGGGGTGCCCGAATCGTCCCGAACGGCCACCAGAGCGCCGAAGTTGATTGGGCCTGTTTTCCACCACCACCACCGCCATAAGTTAGAGGGGGAAAGGAGGTGGAGGACGAGGAGGAGGAGGAGGAGCGAACGTCGCTCCAGAGGAAGAGTCGCCTACCTACCCGTGCGTGCACGTGCAGTAACAGGGCAACAAAGTACGTACTGTGGCCCAGAACCAGGATGCGCTGAAGTGATAGCGTGCCACTGGTGCGTCAGGCAAAGCCTCAAGACCGACCAAACGAGCGAGTCATCGGGGGTCGAGGCGTGGTCCCACAGGGACCCAAAACAAAGCTTCAGACTTACAGAGTTAGAACAAAAAACCCTAGGAAAACAGGCGGACCACCACGGGCGCCGACACCTCAAATATTGTGACATATTGCCAGATTCATTCTCACACCCAAGCTTACAGAGGGCCGAGCGACTACTAGTGACATGCATTCTGGCCACTGTGGGCCATGCGCCGCGCATTACTTTGATCACCACCCACCTCACCCCCATCCCTCTATTGCGAAGGACGCATTTAAGCGCCTCCCATCTCTGCGCCAACACACATGTGGCGGGCACAAGGGCGTGCCACGCAGCCGACCTTTTCTTCCTCTCACGATGGAGCTGCGCCAGCCAGGCAGCCTCCGTCGCCCACGTCCGCCTCTTCGCGGCGCACAGACAGGCCACCGTCCGATGCCCGTTCCTGGGCCTGCTGGTCAGCGTGCAGCTCATCAGTGCGCCCCTGATGTGGCGAGCAGGCCCTCGACGATCCTGCCACCACGACGAGGTGAAGAGGTCCGTCGGCAGGTCCGCCAGCCTGCCCAGCGCCACGCCCCACACGTCGTAGCCGAAGCTCTCAACGCCCTCGAGGAAGGCGAGCCACTCTCTCGGCAGCTTGCACGCCGCCCTCATCCACGCCGTCGCCGCCGAGTCGAAGAGGGAGAGCGGCGCCGTGACGCCCGAGGAGGGGCCCATCGACAGGAGGTAGTCCTTCATGTCCGACTTCGTCGGCACGCACAGCGGCACGTGCAGCAGGTCCCGCACCTTGCCCCCGCGCACATCGGGGAACGGGGGCATCATGGCCACGTCAAGCAGGCACGGGATCTCCAGCCCCTTGTACGCACGTGCCACTGCATCATTGTATAGGGCGTTGGCCCCAAGCGCTCTCATCCTCGCCGCATACTTGGACAAAGAGTCGTGCCACAGTCTGGCGAGGTCTGCGCCTGGCACCAGCCAGCAGCCCAGGTACTTCGTCATGGAGTCGACCGAGCAGCCCAACCAGCCAGCAGTGCTCACCCCGAACGCGCTCTTCCCGAAGATCATGCTCGCCTCCGAGATCGGCGCCCACAGCGGCACCAGGAAGCACTTGGCCAAGTTGTGCTCCAGGCACGTTGGCTTCTGCCTGTCATGTCCAGGGGCCACATCACGACCTCGTTGAGCTGCCCGTAGTAGATCCTCCTTGCTGTGGGCAAAGTCCTCGCGCGTGCTGGCGGGCGCTGGCCATCGCACGATGTGCTCCCTGGCCGCCACCTCGTCGAAATCTTTCTTCCTGAAGATGTGGCCCCAGTACTCACGCACTGCAGCCAGCATAGCGTCAGCATTCTTCATCGTGACATCGAATGGCCGCACGGAGACGCTCTCCAGCTCAGGTGGTGCAGGGGGCTCTTCCATACCCCGCACCTTGACGCCGCTCAGCTGCCCGGCGGGCAGCTTGCGGAGCCACAGCTGGGCCTTCTTCACTATGTTGCCCTGCTCCCGCTTCCAGTACTCGCCCTCCAGCGCCTGCACCGTCGCACAGGCGCAACGGACCCGTCTCGCAGCGCCCTTACGCCGCAAATCCAGCATACGTTCCAGGGTGGAGCATACGACTTCCCCGAAAACCAGAGTGCCGTTCGCCAGCACCTTGCCATCTTGAATGCGCAGGTGCCTCCGAGCCAAAGGAGAGAACTTGATCAGCAAGGGCGCCGTGGTGCCATCGTTCGTCCAGGCCGTCTTGGCCACCGAGCGCGTCACCAGGGCGAAGAGCTCCGCGCCCTGCGAGTTCTGCAGTTCCGCGAGCGCAATCATGCGGTCCCTCGTGGCCTTCGCCGCTGAGACCAGGGGCCGCTTGGCAGCAGCCCACTCCTCTTGAACGTCTCCGTCAGCTCCCCGCCAACGAGGCAAATCCGTCGGCATGCGATAGTAGCGTCGATCCTCCACTGGGTGGGTGAAGTCGCCGCCCACATCGCAGAGCTCCTGCAACGGGGACCTGCGCACCTCCCTCATTGCCCTCCGCCAGGTTGCCGCCTCTCTCGACTTGTCCTCCCCGCTGCGATCGTGGTTGTGCACGTTGATGAGAGTGTCCCCGCCACGACACCCTTCAGCCTCTGCAGGCAATTGTGTGGCCGAGTCGGGCTTCCACGCCATCACCCAGACCTTCATCATTAATATTCGCACAGGGCCCAGCTCCGAGGTCGTCGAGTCTGGGTGCCACGAGGGTTGCATCTCCTCCCCGTCATACTGCTCCAATGATGGGATCAGCATGGCCACACCTTCGCCACATCCCTCGCGGAGCGCAGAGAAGTGGAACTTGTAGGGGTACATCTGCGAGCGCACGAACGCCTCCAAAATGCCCACCGCGTCATGCGTCTCCTGCATCATGATTAAATACTTCTTTGCCATATACGACCACAAGGTTGCAAGCTTGCATCGCCTACGAGGAGGATCCCGTAGAGGCAAACCACGCACATCCCACGATATGACCTTCAGGGAGCTATTGAATACCTCCTTGTAATGGTACTGCCACAGGCGCCACCACGCCGAGCGAGTGTTAGGGACACCACTGTACCTCTCTGGTGCCACTGCCGACCATGCGATTGAACACCTCCTGCACCTTGCTTTTGTCGATGCCCAGGTTCGCCACCATCGGATTGTTCCAGCGCAGCTCCGTCGGGGCATCCTCTTCCGTGACCACAATACTGACCACCTCCACATTGTCAAACTTGACCTCCCCCTTCGCTGTGTTCGGCCACCAGCGCCCAGCTCCTCCACGCACTTCCTCCAGAGCTTGGCCAAGGCGCTTGGTGTGGAGCTCCACCCGCAACGCCCGCTTGGACTTGTCCGCGTTGATGTACATCTTGTGGCCCCCTGCCGTGAAGCTCCTCCACCCACCCGGCATGCGGAGGTGCGTGACCAACCTCTTGGCGCGTTCGTAGCCCACCACACCGCCCGTGAGCTCCAGCACGAAGTGTTTCCCAGACGGGAGGGAGTGCAGCGAGTACTGACCGCTCGACACCGTGGCAGCCTTGAACCATTCCTCGAGGCCGCAGATAATCTCCGCGCTCGTGACACCCGTCTCGACCTGGATTTGGAAGATGTTCGGCGCGGCGGGTCTGTCCCACATCTCCTGCTTAGCTGCCTGAAAGAGAGGGACCTGGGCCTCCGCGCGCTCCAGGGCCTCCGAGATGCTCTGGACCGCTGCGCGCAGCTCCTCGTTCGACGCTTCGATCCTGTGCTGCCAGTCTCGCATGCGAGCGACATCCGCATCGACCACCGCGAACCGTGCCGAGCACTCCTGGGCGTGGGCGGCAACGACCGTGGCCATCTTGGTCTGGGCCGCCGACGTCGTTGCGTGGAGGTTGGCAGTCGCCTCGACCAGGATCCGCTCCAACTCCAGTGCGACGCTGGCGGGCAGCCCTGCAGCAGAGGCCAGTGCCGAAACTCCTCCCCCCGACGGCGCGGCCTCGACAGGAGCAGCAGCATCTGCTCCAGGTGGGTACGCTCCCTCCGTGCAGCTCCTGCCTCCACGTCCACCACCATGACGCCAGGGGTCCCGCTCTTGTGGATAATCACGCCCGCGATCACGTTCTCTATGCTGTCTTCGTCGGCGCCGACGAGCACCTTCTCCACTGCGGGAGGCAGACCGCCCGCCGTCTGATGCATCGCTCCGACTCGAGGATCTGTTGCTGCCCCCAGTACGCCCAGCAGCGCCAGAATCACAGCCGTCGCCACCCTGCGTGCCCTCCCGCACAGGGCCCATGGCTTTGAGTCTGGATGCGCTCGGGCCGGCAGGAACGGGAAAGGCCTCCGTTTACCCACCGACCCGAGCGCAGGTGTGGAGAACCAAAGAAGATGCCAGACCTCAGGAAGTCTTGCCAGCCGCGGACTAGCGGTATCCGCGTGTTCCCCTGAGGAACTCATCATCTTGAGCCAAAATGGCTACGGAGGAGGAGGAGGAGGAGGAGGAGGAGGAGGAGGAGGAGGACCCCCTCCCCCTCCAACTTATGGTGGTCGTGAAAACAGGCCCTTCAGAAGTATGCACCGAGAGCCGCCAGGCCTCCGCGAGAGGGAGCGGGCCCTGCT